TCTGGATTTCTGAAGAAGGGTCCAGACCCGAAATGTCAGCTTTCCTGCTCCTCTGATGCTGCTGTGTTCATCCAGCTCTACACCTTGTTATCTCAGATTCTCCAGCGTCGGCAGTTCCTACTATCTCTTAACTTATTATTTCTCTGTTAACTAAAGATAATAATCAACCATTGCATTAAAATTATTGGCACATCTGTCTAAAAATGCATTTGGATATCCATCTTGACCTACCAGGAAATTAAATTTTAGTTTATTCCAACAGATAACATAAAATATATGGTATTGAATCAAGGTATTTGGCCCACTACTCTAGTCCTGGTGTTTATACTTTGTGTGAGTCTCCTGCCATTTCAACTTAGTTGCATCTTTTTAGCTCAGTGCTAAGAAATATTAGTCAAAATGGAATGGCAGCATTTATTCTGAAGCTGTACATATAGCAGTCATCCTTGTACCTGTGATTGTTTACTCACTATCTTTTTGTGCACTGTTATATTAGACAAATTTTAAAATGATATTAAACTTTACTGAATTGCTTTTGACTTTTGTTTTATCAGGTGATGTACATTCAGAAGAGACGCAGGTAATCAGTACCAATCTTGAGTAATTAAGTAGTGCAGCTTTTCTATTCTGTATCTAAATGTAGTTTAGGCCATTGACTTATATTCCTTTCACACCTATGCATGAGATTTTCTTTTATCTTGACATACTAAGAATGCAGCAGTTTATAAATCCCTCATAATAGAATGTTACCAGCAAATGTAGACACTTGAAACATGATATCAATGCAATGGTGAACAAACATAATTATATTAGTTTTTTTGCCTGAAAACAGATTTGCTTTCTCTTTTCTACCAATTTCCATTTGTTACCCTGTGAACATACTGCTAAGTACAGTAATGCACAATATACAGAAACGAGAGTCATGTTGAGAATCAGATGATGTTAGTAAAAGCTTCAAGGTTCATTCCTCATTTAGTTTTAATCAGCATTGTTATCCTAATGCAGGAGGGCTTATTGTCTGACATAGGGTCAGTGCCTTCAAAAGATATTGGGAAAATATTGTGAAGGGGGTGAAAGGAAGCATGGGAAAAGATGGACAAAATGGCAAATGGCTGTCAATAGGGTATTAAGCTAGGAATATGAGTTGACTATTTAACCTGTCAAGGCTTTTTGCCAGTAAAGTTAAATCATGAATGATTAGTGATCTAACTTTGTCCACCTTTGCTCCATATCTTTTAATACCATTGGCTATCAAAATTAATCAATTACAAATCTAAAATTAACTGTTGATTTTGAATCAACTGCCATTTGCAAAAGTGTTCTAATTCTCCGCCACTCATCTAACACAGATGTGTTTCTTAACTTCACTTTTGAATGACCAGGCTCTAGTTTTTAGGCTATGTCCCCTAATCCTAGACTTTCTAACCAGCGGAAATAGTTCCGCTCTTTTGAGAGTACTGATGCAGAGGTATTGCAGATCAAGTGACTTAAACCAATTGAATTTTATGACCTTGTGATTCAGCTACGGTCATGTCAATTTGTACTTTACTGTTCCCAGGGAGGGAAGCAACTGTACAAGCACACAAATGTTTATTGTTGACTGAAAAAATTAAATAAACCAGCTATTAATATTTAAGTCATGTAGAACTAATTTATAGTTTCCTACCAGAACATTTTTGAAACTAAGTAATGAAGGGAGAGGGAAAATCTGCAAGTTTTAGTGCCCTATTATTACATTGTGGCAAATGTAAAAACATTAATCATACCACTGCATTTATATGGAATGGAAAGAGGTAAGAGGACATTGATTACATTTTTGTTTAGTGAGCCAAACATGTGTAAGCTCAATGTAGTCTTTGCCACATCATTGTAACACTTTCCCCTTCTCCAAGTATCTTCCCTCTGCCTAGCCTAAGGGCATTGCATCGAGTTGGAGAGCAGTATGCATCCAATAATGCATCCAAGTGATCTTGATATGTGAGCAGTGACAATTTTAGTGCCAGGAGATGGTATTGTTGCTATGTAAGGATGCAAAAGCAGCTTGCTATTACATAAGATGTTTAACATAAATAGTTCACATGGTTTTACAGTGGGGGTAAAAAATATAAAATGAAGCTTTCCCAGAGAAATACAGCTAATTGTCTCTGCACAAGTGTTCTTCCAGCAGTGGCATTGGCTGGCGCTGGGAAATGGGAACTTTTAGCTGGACATTTTTTTCTCTCTTCAAGTAAAAGGTCAGTAGTCCGCTTGTAACAACCAACTACCTCAGCTGAAGATCAAACCTGGCTTTTTTCTCACAGTTGTGGTTTATCTCCATATTGGACAGTATATGTAGCAGCTAAGCCACTATTAGAGTGAATCTTCAATCTTCTAAAAGATTGAATCTTCAACATTACATTATAGTCAAGTCTTTCCAGGACAAAGGAGCCTGCTTAATTGACATCCAATCCACCATCTTAAACTCCCCCCACAATCCACCAGTGACAGCAGTGATGCACGGTAGCCACTCACCAAGACTCCCCTGATAGCATCTTCCAAATCAGCAACCTATACTTCTGGAAGGACATTGGAACAGCACCTGCAAGTTCCCCTCAAAGCCACACAGCATCCTGACTTGGAATTGTATTGTATTTCATTCACTGTCATTGGGTCAAAATCATGGAACTCCCTTCCTAATGACACTGTGGCTGTTCCTACCTCATATAAATTCCAGTGGTTCAAGAAGGTTGCTCATTATCACCTCCTCAAGGGCAGTTAGGGTTGGCAATAAATACTGCCGTGGCTAATGATTCATACATTCTGTAAACAAATAAATGAAGAAAAAATATAACATTAATCAGTCAGTAGAATATTTAACCAACAGCAACAAAAAAACACTTTAAACAAGGATTTTTCTTATTTTTTGCCTTTTCTCAAGGTTAGACAAGCTTAGACATCAGCTACTTCCTGTTTATACCTATGATCCCACTGAGGAAATGAACGAAGCTGAGGAAGAGCTTCTCTTGGATAGTGATGAACCTAAGGTGAGCACAGAGTCGAAACGAGGAAATGTTTGTTTCTGTGCTGGCTTTATATTTAAAATGCAAACAATGAATTGGCACCAATATGGTGTCCGAGAGTTCAATTAAAGATAGCCTCAAATACTCTGAGGTAGGAGAGCCACTCTGACAGGAAGGTCCTAGGTTTGATCTCCAATCAATTAATTTAAACTGGTTTGCCAGGAGAATAGACTCGTACTGCACAGCATGAGGCCATTCAGCCCATTATCAATGCGCAATCTTTCAGAGTTAACTAATTTGTTCCTTTTCTATGTAGACTTCCAAATTGTTTCCTTTTTAAATATATGTACAGCTCTTTTGAAATATGTAAGCAAATCGGTTTCCTCAACTCTCACCCAGACCATAAATACAAGAACTACTATAATTACATGGAAGTTGTTTGATGGATTAGGTATGTTCGTAGTTGTGGGCTCTGTCTGCTTCTAACTATATTGGAAAAATGGCTTTAGATTGATGTTTTTTTTAAGTGACTTAAATTATTTGTTTTACTAATAAATGGGGATTTGTATAAAGTGTAAGAAATTTTAATGAAAACAAGCCAAGTTGGCTAATAAATTCCCAATAATTTTGAAAACTAATGTTCACTGTTTAATATTTAACTAAATATAATTATTTGGTGCATGGGAATTGATACTGGTGACTGCAAATGTGGATATCTTTCTTAAATTATGCATTTGTTGATGATTTTTATTGCTAGGAGAAAAGAATTTTTTTTTTCGGTTTAACTTCTAACATTCCAAAGGAGTCTTTTTGATAGCAGGCTACTGGTTCAGTAGATGTTGTCATCAAGTTATAGGAAGTGAGTTAATATCTGACATTGACCGGGTTTCCTGAGTAACACATTGAGCTCAACAAAGACTTTTCCAAATTTTAAACAAAAACACCGTGTGAATCACCTGTCATGATTGCTAGAGAGACCAATAGGTTTTAAAAAAGAGATTTGAATGAACACAAATGATCACGTGACAAGAATTCATGTTTTAAGAACTTTTTGTAACTAAGTCAACACTGACTAAACATAACGTCATAAGCAATTAATACACTAAACAACCAAAAAGATTGCCGCCCTTTTTAATGTCCTAACATGACCAAAAGTTCTACACTCACTGAAGAATTATATTGCTCACAGGAGCTAGTTCCTTCCAGCTTCCAGTGGGCTTGTGTCTCCTTATTGTGCTGAGTCATAATTGTCAATAGTGCATCTCTCAGCTTTCTGAGAATCTGTGAACTGACATCGAGCAGCAAGCCCTCCCACTCCAGCAGTTCCTTCTCCAAGGTCATGACAAGGCAAATATTCCAGTGTCCTTAAATATCTGTCTGTCCCATCTCTTCAAACAGAACAAACTCCTGCCAGAATTCTGCCTGTTGATTAACAGAGAACAGTCTTTTCCTGGCTGTTCACAATAGCTGCTGTTTCCCTGTTTCTCTCCCCCTCTCTCCATAGCTCTCCTTCTGTTCAGTCTCTGAATTAATGGTTTGGTAGTGATAAAGCCAGTTGTCTATCCCTTTGTTCCTTGAACATTGTTGCTTTTTTGACATAGGGCTTGATCTGGATCTCTGTCCCCATTGTAACCAAATCAAATAGGCATATCACTGGCAGAACGAGCAGGATGTCACTCTGTATTACCCCACTATGGTATGAATTAAAGGAGACAATCCAAAACATAACTATCTTATAAAGCCTCACATTTTGTAACTCAGCATAGTGTCAACAAACTAGTTAAAGATATTGCATTGTCTGTTCTGTATTTAAAATACATTATGACCTGATGAACAAATTTGTATCGCATTTTACTCATGTACAATTTTTATAATGTAACAATGGAACATTTGGAAATCCCTAATCTAATGGTCCTTTTTGACTGATGTTTGATGTTGCGGTCGGTATAAAGAACTAACAGCTTTTGGTTTTCTACATTCGTGGGATGTGGCTGTCGCCTGGAGAGGGTGGTGATGAGCTACCACTGCTGTGGTCTTTGGGTTTAGGGTCACCCACAGTTCTGTGAAGAAGGGAAATCCAGGATTTTGACTCAGCTACAATGAAGGAATGGTGTTACACTTCAAAATCCGAATGGTGTCTGGCTTGGATTAGATCTTGCAGGTCACGGTATTCCCATGCTTCTGCTGCCCTTGTCTTTCTGGATGGTGGAGCTTGCAGGTTTGGAGTGTGCTTATGGGAACATTAGCTCTTTATCTTTATTCCTTTGTTACTTTCTTACCTCTTTCTTCTTCCCTCCCTTTGTTTTCTTTCTTTCTGCCCTGGCAGTGTTATTATATCTGATTTTGGATCAGTAACTTGTAACATGTTTTAATTGATAATTAATATTTTTTTGAGCATTTGATTTGTAATGGCCATTTTAATGGTAAAACTGTATGAGGTAAGTTGATGGGTGTGAGTGTCACTGGCTCAGTCGACTGGACAGTCAGTTTTCGATGCAGGGTGAACCAATACTGCAGGTTCAGTTCCTGCACTGGCTGAGGTTACCATGAAGGTCCTCCTTCTCAACCTCTTCCCTTGCTTGAGGCATGGTGACTGTTAGATTAACCGACCACCAGTTATATCTCCCTAATGCGAGAGTAGTCCTCTGGGATTATGACAACTTTACTGGATGACTGAATTTAGATCCAACCTGAACTGATAGTCTCATCTTACCAAAAACCCATTGATAAGTGTTGAAGCACACAGCTCAAAGAAATTTTCTGTTTTCAACCAGATTTTCTAATTCTCATGTTGCAATATAATGAGAAAAATGTAACTAGTCTTTATATGCTTCTTGTTTTGACAGGTTGTGCAAGGCTGGGGGACATCACAACAATATAGAAGAACATTTTTCACAAAGAGTATGAAAGCTTGATCCTTCCGTTATAGTTTTGATTCAGTACATTCAAAGGCAATTGTTGATCCATATGTTTTCACAGATGAATGGCTACAAAGTACTGTTTGTAAAACTGGTGTGCAGAAGTGAAACATGCCAAATACCAGATGACTTCGTACATACAAGTGAAATTTCTAAGAAAATGACACATTTGATGCAAATATGGAAGCAGCAGTCTATTTTATTTACCTTACAGAGACCCAGCTGGGTTACAGTTATGCTGCGCATACATACAAGAGGTAGTATTGATCTCAGGCAAGTCAGTGCATTAAATATAGATGCACAAAATATTAAGAGATTTATTTTTTTCAAGATTTTTGTTTCTAATTTTAATTTTAATGTATAATTAATTACAATATAAATGAGAGGGTTTTAGCCAGTGGGGTCCCTATAAAAGTGACAGCAGGATTTGTGGGTTCTTTGGTGTATTGGGTATAATTTAGTTTGGTGATGTTTAGTCAGATTCTGTATACAGAATCTGATATAAAATTTGTTTATATGAATGCATAAGTTTTGAAAGGTCAATGTCGTGCTGGAAAATAAGTTGGCAGTTTTGTTGAGGCTTATACTGATGTGTATTTACATATTAAACCATGTTCTCCCTTGAACAGTTACTGATTTACTGAGACCCTGAATAAAGTGTTTGTGGAGAGTCCTCAGCTCAAAGAAACTCTTGGCTGCTTCCTGTTTTTAAAAAAAAAACAAAGATACAGATTTATAGGACACTTTAAATCCTTTCTGGAACTTGCAGTACAGAAAGGATCCTGAAGCACAACTTTTCAATTGAAGCTTCTTGCATGGGGTGTGAGCAAACGGCTTGGATTCATATTAATGCATTTGCATTTCTCCAAGCTGTCATCAGAATTCTCAATATGGATGTTTTGTGCTTTATTAAGGTCTGTTTAACAACATCCAAAATGTAGTTCATTTTTAACATAGTGGAGCAGACAGAATAGTTAACATTTGTATTTGGTACTTTACATGATAAGCAAGTATTTTTTAAAATATAAGTAAATCTTAAACTCTCTTTACAATAGTTGTCGTAGTGATAAACAGCACTGTTCACTATCCCCTCTGGATTCTCCAGTAACAGTTCATCGTTATGTCAACAACTTAAACTTTCGTTGTACAAGAGGCACATTTGCGTTTGCTATTTAACAAATTCAGAGAAATAGTTGCATTTTATCTAGACTGTGATAAAATATAAAAGCTGAGCAAAAACAAGTCTTCAACTGTTATTAAAAAAAATATGATTAAACATAGTGATTAGAATGATTATGGATGTCTTGGAAAGAAAATAATTTACTAGTATGCTATAAATTGATCTGTATTCATTCAATAATATTTTACTTTTGTCAGGGCACGAGTTCCTACATTTTTGTCTGGAATTATGGTAGTTGTGCACAGTCAGGTCAGAACAGCAATGAAAGAGATTACTATGACATCAATAAAGAAGATCAAATACAACATTTTCCATTTATTACTTCCCAATTGGGCTAAATGTTTCAGGCCACTTTGGAAAAGGCTGAGTGGCAGTCAAACTGGCAAAATGGTGAGGGAAGAAATTGAAATGGAAGCCTAGTGTCTTGCCAATGCCAACACATGTTCCAAGCGTAGCAAAGTTGATTGCTGTGATACCCATGGGGAGGCTAATTAGGACTCTTGGGTGACTCTTCACCCCTCTGTTTTCATTAGGAGGGTACACTACCACGTGGGGCGGCTGCCAGCAGGACCTGGGAAAGGGGATGGTTACATTGGATTATGGGCACCCAATGGCCCACAGAGCAACTTAAGCAATACCATTGGCATGAATATGTTCTCTAGCTTCTCCCTTGTATTGTAGCCTTGGCAATGACACCTGTAATAGAGATGCTGCTGAGCAGCTGGCAGCTTTTGCATGGGCTGCTCTCCTTATTTTCTCACCACTGGCAATAGACAGCCCAGGTTCTGCTGCCTGCTGAAGTGGGGTTGCCTCACACTTTCAAACCTACCAGTGGGATCTGGCAGAAATTCAGCTCGTAGTTTCCTGTTTTCACTTTATTTGAGGACAATTAAATTGCATTTTTTTGGATTTTATGATGAATCCACCAACTTTGCCCTGATGATTAGGTTTGTATTTTGACTTTGAGAAACTCAATTGATTCTTCCCACAGTTTCTTTTCACCTTCCTCCTGTCTCCAGCAATAGTACTCTCTACGGGCTGTCAAACAATTTTGCATTCATAGCTGACAATTATGCAACTGGTCTCCCTGAGACATGAGCCTCTAGTACATAGCCCAAGCTAATGGCCCACATTGTATTCCTAGACCATTTTTGGGGAAATTACTTTGGTGTAGGCTAGGAGAATGAAGAGCAATTTTCACTTGTCAGTATTTTTCACATATGTTGGTGATCCCTTTCATTGGATGAAAGGAAGAATGTTCGTGATGACTGGGGTGTCTAGAACCAAGGGTCATAGGCTAAGGATATGGGCTAGACCATTCAGGACTGTGATGAGGAGAAATTTCCTCTCAATGAGAGTGTTGAGGCTGTGAAGTTCTCTGCCACAGAAAGAGGTTGAGGCCAAAACATTGAATGTTTTCAAGAAGTTAGATATATTTTATAGGGCTAAAGGATATGGGGACAAAAAAGTGGAAAAAGGGTACAGAGTTGGATGATCAGCCATGATCATAGAGAATGGAGGAACAGGCTCGAATTGCTGAATGCCCTACTCCTGCTCCTGTTTCCCATGTATCTATGTACACAGAATAAACATCATCTTGATTTGAGGCTGTACAAAGAGTCACAAAGAAGTTAGATACCAAAGAGGTATTTGTTCAGATGTTAACTGTATTGGTTACCATACAAATCTGGTACACACAGATAATTATAAAGTTGCCAGTAATATACAATGTTTAAATTACTATTGATGGTATGTTTAGTAAAAAAGAAGTACTAAATATAGATAATTGTATTACATTTGAGATTTTGGCATGCATGCACACTTTGGTATGTGCATTGTACATATTTCAACAGTGTTATTTTCATAGAGATCTACAGCACAGAAAAAAGGCTCTTTTGCCCATCACATGCATGCTAGTCAAAAACAACCATCTAACTATTCTAGTCCCATTTTTCAGCACTAGGCCCATAGCCTTGTATGCATCATAAGTGCACATCTAAATACCTATTAAATATTAAGTGCCTCTACCACTATTATGGGCCATGAATTCCAAATTTCCACCACAATCTGGGTGAAAAAGATTTGCCTCATGTCTCCTCCAAACTTTCTTGCCCCATACCTTAAATCCATGTCCCCTGGTCATTGCTCCCTCCATCAAGGGGAATAGTTTCTTTCTGTCTACCCTGTCTATGCCCTTCAATGTTGTAGATCTTAGTCACATGCCCTCTGAATCTCCTCTGCTCCAAGGAAAACGACTCTAGTCTGTCCACTGTCACTTCTTTAACTGAAACACTCTAGTGCTATCACATTCCTTCTATAATGTGTATTCCAGAACTGCACACTCTAGCTGAGGCCTAGCCAACAATTTATATAGTTCAATCATGACCTTTCTGCTCTTAAATTCTACTCCTTGGATATGTCAGGACATTTCAGGTCCAGTGATGCTTCAGAACTGATAATGAGTAATGTTGACAAATTGGTATTTATTGCCTATACTTATAGTTACAATTTGACTTCTCAACATCCAATGTATCATTTGATGATGTGTAATTTGATCATATGACCAGAAGTAAATATCTATTTTCAAGAAATGGGTTAATTTTGCTTCTGCAAATTTGGATTTTGATAGCAAGATAGTTTATTAAATCTGAAACTCAAATCCTTGTATTCATGTGTGGTGCTTTAGAGCTAGTTATTAATTCCGCGATTGTACGATCGATTTTTTGTAAAATGAATAGGATGTATTGTCGTACGCTATGCTTTCTGGGTAGCAAGAACCTCCATTAACCATCTGAATCACAGATCCGAGTCCAATTTAAATTCAGGCTGTAAATAATCAGGAGTGCAAGGCAGATGTCGAAATAATGAAAGTAAAGAAAAACTTAAGCGCCTTTGGTATTGGGCAGGATACCAGAAACTCGACGTACAATGGCACAAACAACTGCAATAAATTTGAGGGCGTTGTTTTTAAATATGTTGAAAAGTTATCATCCAATTTTATTTCATGAGCAATTTTGAAATCAATGAAGTAATTAATTAATACTTTAAGTTCTTTGACAGTAAATCAGGACAGTCTCTGTCCTGCGTACAGCACAAAAACAGGCACAAAATGTCAATGCAAAGTAGTTTTTTTTCCCTTCTCTCTTAAAAGCGAAATACTGAGAACGCTGGAAAGCAGAAATAAAAATAGAAAATGCTAGAAAGATTCAGCAGATCTGGCAGCACCACTGGAGACGGAAACACGTTGCGAGTATGATAGAACTATTCTTTAGTGTTTCCCGCCATCCGCCGTCCACCCACCAAGTCTGTCAACAGCAGTGTCTGGAAGACCAATCCGGAAAACAACCAAAGAACTGCGGACACAGGAAATCAGAAATGAAAACAGAAATTACTGGGGAAAAAACACTCAATAGGTCTGGCAGCATCTGTGGAGAGAAAGCAGAGTTAATGTTTCGGATTCAGTGACCCTTCTTCAGAAATGAGCTTTTCCAGCAATTTCTGTTTTTGTTTTTGTTCATTCCCGGAGACTTCCATGAGGTTTGAGGATCCGATTGACACTACACAAGGCTGGCAAAACGCTGACCAAGACAGCGATGCCTACGTCCCATCAGTAAATATACAAAAAAAACTGAAACTTGCTGATTTGGTGGGTCAGACACATATTTTCCAGTTCCCTTCTCAGGTTGATGTAACCTTAGTGAAATCCATTTGCTCAGTATAAACAGTGAATTGTTAAATGTTTCCCTCACTTCATCTGTGTCATCATCCACGCAATTCTGTTACATAATTAGATAAATTTTAAAATACAACTCCACAAAAGGAGAATTTAGTTGACTTATCCCTTAACAACTTTTACTTCTAACTTATTAAGCTCTTTCTCCAGTTGACCTACTTGAATATAAGCAGTCTTATTTTATCATACCATCAGGGAAAGATACAGAGCAGAATTATCATTTGACCTCTCGTGACTGCCAGTATTATGCCTGATTTCACTTTTGTGATATAATTGCTATTCAATACATGAATCATATAAAAGTATATAGTTAAACTTAATTGACTGGCCTGACTAAACCAAATATTCCTCGAGGGTTAGGCAGTAAATCTTGGTTCAAGAGTTTGGTCATTGAATCGGATTTGTATTTCCTAGCTTCATAGACAAAGATTTTAAATGTTAGTTTGACTGCAATAATGATAAGAAATCAATAGTAGTACAGATTGCATAGACTTCAAGCCCTGTAATTAATACCTCTATTGCATTAAATGAAACATTATCTAGTTTTCTAAATATTACAGGGTCCCACTGGTGCAATTCACTCACTTAAATTGTGCACAAGCTTGCAAGATTGTTTAGAAGTTGCTAGCTTCACTGTATTTATACAGTTAGATTGCATTTATATAGTTAGATAAAACTTTCACCTACTTTAATTTAAATTAACCACGGGATGCTTAGAATAAATATGCAAAGTATGGATAATTGATTGATGGTATTGATACATCTTCTGAAAATG